TTTCTACCCAGCTCTTCTCAGTTCCTCCAGCAACAAAAGTTAATGTTGACATAGTTGCCTCCCCAGTGGCCGGAAAAGTGGAGCTGGAAAAACAGGGAAAACCAGGGACACTGGGAAATACAGCACATGGCACACATGGATGTGGAAACTCAGAGATAACAGAGACTTAAAAAGACACATGGAGAGGGAATGCTCAGTTGTCTCGTCCATCATCCACCCAACCAGCAGTACCAAACTGAGCGCCTACTCATCAGGTACTGCGCTCAGCGATGGGGGTACACAAAGACAGAGGTGGAAGCCTAAAAGCAGAAATTGGAAGTGGGAATAGCAGTTGACTTGACCTATGAGGGTTCCCGCAACGGCGGAACACATGGGCTGGGAATAAGGGGTTGCTTCGCGCTGCGCACCTGCCGGCGCAGCGCACCTGCCCGCCCAGGTCCGAGAAGGGCAAACAGCAAACCCACAAACCATAGAGATGCGCGGACTTCCGGGCTGCCTAGAGAGGACCGGAAGTGGCTCTGTGCTCGCATCTGCGGTCGCTGTGAGTGGGCCGGGGTGGGTAGGGCTGGCGCCCCTCCGCGGGGACCCTGTGGGCTGCCTCGGCCCAGAACGCGCCCCCGTGGCCGCGCGCGTCAGGGAGCAGTGAGGGCGGCAGGTGGCAGCCCTCGGGGATGGGGCGGGGAAGGTACTGAGTAGCCTAGACCCCGGCACCGGGAAGAACAATTGCCTTTCTGATTCCAAGGAGCTGGGCCAGCTCAGCTTGGCTTTCTGGAATGTCTCTGAGGCCTCAAATGTCAGTTCTCCTATTTTGTTTTCCATTTAAAAGCCATCAGGCTTAGGTTGTTAATCTCATTTTACAGATGAGAAAACTGAAGCTCTGAGACACGAGGTGACTAAGCCCCAAGCTCGGAGCTTTCAACAGGTTATCTAGCTAAATTTGATTCCTATCTTTGGTTTCCTTTGCCCTTTGGGGAAAGGATCGCCTCCTTTTATGACGAGTGATTCTGGTTTCCCACTTCAAGTGGCAACGTGAGGTTGCCATCTAAGATGAATGTAATTCCTGGTTAAAAAAAAAAAAAAGGCAGTAAACAGAATTGAAATAAAACCTAAGAAGTGGGTGATAGTACCAGATGTGCCAGGTATGGCAGAAATTGTGAAGGTGATACGATAACGACCTAAGAGAACAGGCATTGTGCCAACGTTAGTGTGAGCCATTGTCCCTGATGGTTAAAAGTCACGCAGACCTGGCCTCAGGCCTTGGATCCAGCCCAGCCACTATGACCTGCATAATTTGCGGGCAAAGTTCTGAACCTCTGAGCCATTTTCCTCATTTCTGAAAAGCCTATGATGCTACTAGTTAAGTACCTCAGCCGACTGTCCTGAGGCTGAAATGGCAAACCTTTAAAATGCCTAGCTCATAATAAATGTAGCCGTGGTGGTTGTGGTTTTCATTTTAGGGAGGAGGAAGTAGGATCAAAGAGGTCCAGCCAGTTGCCCAGGATTGTGCAGGGAGTTGGTGGAAAAGCCGAGTGTAAGGCCCAGATTTTCTGATTTCCAACCTAGGAGTCTTCACCTCATAGGAGGAGGTGAGGTGCCCCGACCTCTTCCCTCCAGGATCTGGAGGGCCACCTGTGAAGCTGCAGAATGTGTTAACTGTGAAAGCCCTCACAGGCCTCATGTTAGGGACTCTGCGCTCCTCTGGCGCTACTGTTGCGTCAGTTCCACCTGGGTTAGGGACTGGGATGTCTGCTCTACCATGTGCTAGCTGTAGGAGCTGGGGGTTAGTCACCTCTTGTCTCAGACCTTCAGCTTTCTCATCTGTAAAATGAGATTAACAAATAAATCCTCATCTCAGAGAGCTGTTAGGAGCATCAAGCGAAATAATTTGCTGGCAGAGTATTGCACATGCCTGGCCCAGACTAGATGCTAAACAAGTGGCAGCTGAAGCGACTTTGGTTTGTTGAAGTGGCAAACTGCTGGCCTCGTAAGCAGAGCACATGTAGCACTCCATGCAGATATGGCAGAAAAAGGCAGGTGAAGAGCCCTCAAAATATTCCCCGAATTTGGGTTTGTTGGGTCTACGATCAGCCAGCTATTCCTTGTCCCTGCAGATGCTGCTGGTCTTTGCAGACATAGAGTTTATAAAGTACTTTGGGAAACAGATTTCTTTTGTCACCAGCATTGTGAAGAATTTCAAGGATCTTTTGTGCAACAAATACTTGGATAGAAGGACTTTGAGCGCAGCTGAATGAGAAGGTTTGGTGCACCTAAGGTGTCAATCCTGAATTAAAGACAGCTGTCCTGCCACCTCGAGTTACATTCCAAACAGTGACCTCAAATACCTATCTCTGAATATCCCAAGTTTTCACTTAATGCTATGCCCTTAGTTAATTTTTTTCCCAGCTATCTCTGGCCTTATAGGTTTTATTTTTCATTTTATTTATTTATTTATTTATTTTTTTTTTTGCAGTTTTTGGCCGGGGCTGGGTTTGAACCCACCACCTCCAGCATATGGGGCCAGCGCCCTACCCCTTTGAGCCACAGGTGCTGCCCCAGGTTTTATACCACACATCCCTTTCATCTGATCAGAGGTCCTCTCCTAATGGTCTCTAATTACTTCATCTTTATTGCTTCGACTGCTTTATATTAAACTACAGATACTGCTTTATATTAAAGCTACAGATACTTTTCAGATCATGCATGGAATTTGAACAGCACCATTCCATAAGCCCTGTAGCTTCAATATACACGTATTTTCCAGATTTCAATGTACTAAGATTACAGTTACCCTTGACCTTTGTTCAGCACTACTTGGGCAGCAATTTACAACTGGGTAAATTGGGTTATACTCCTTGGAGATAATTCTATCTTCCTTAAAGTAAACATAGTAATTTTTTATGGAAACAGCCTTTAATTACCTCTGTTGCCTACTTTCTGTTGGTGAAATGCTAGTGGCGCCTAGATTTCTATATGGCATTTCAGAGGGCTAGCAGCATCATAATCTTGAACTCTCAGGCATGAAAGAGCTGTGTGCATAAACTCAGGCTCTTTTTTTCTGATCCTTAGCATATAATTAGGCCTTTGTAAATCTAAAGTACTCCAGTCATCTTTTATTAGTTTCTTCTCATAACTTCCCTGTGAGATGTCAACTTTATGACCCTCACTTTCCCTTAGTATTATCAAGAGGTCAGGCAGATTTTAAATTTCTCTTTTTTTTCCTGTTTGTAATTAAGATTCCTTTTTCTTGATCATGTGCTTAACTTTAACCTGTGTCTGCTACAATGACTGCTCAGGTCAGATGGAACACCTCCCCACCAGAGGAAAGCAATTACTGAACAAAGCCACATCTTGGAAGAGCTTTCAAGCAATTGCCATTTATAAAAGAAGGTCTGAGAGCCCCGCCCTAGAAAGAATCAGATGGAAACTAATTAATAAGATAGGAGCCATGCTGTATATGAAAAGTGGGCAGCAAGTAGGAGAAAAACTGTATATACTGTTTTCTCCCTTCTGCTTTAGGGTTCGTGAGAATTTCCTAGGAGTTTCCATGAAATGTGTTTGCTGAGATTTTTGTATGTTTATTGATGACAGTATGTTAACTGTGAAAGTCTTCCTGACGTGGTGGACAGGCTTCTTGTCATTGCTGTTGGTTTTGTTGAATTGTTAATTTTTCCTTACCTTTCTCATCTGCCCCTCTTGATCAGGTTGGTTATACAAGTTTTTGCCTCAGATCGTTCTGGAACCTGGTAGGAGGTTGTGAGTAGCATCAGTAGGCCTGGCAGGCTTCTCAAGCATTAATAATCTGAAACTGTACATTCCTGCCTTGATTTCATGTCTCATGAGCCATGATTGACCTGTGGTCTTATGACTAGACTGGAATGTGTAATTTTAAAAACAGAATAATTGGCTCAGCACCTATAGCTCAACCGGCTAAGGCGCCAGCCACGTACACCTAAGGTGGCGGGTTCGAATCCCCAGCCCGGACCCGCCAAACAACAATGACAGCTGTGGCGGGCGCCTGTGGTCCCAGCTACTTGGGAGGCAGAGGCAAGAGACTCGCTTGAGCCCAGGAGTTGGAGGTTGCTGTGAGCTGTAATGCCACGGCACTCTACCCAGGGGGACAGCTTGAGGCTCTGTCTCAAAAAAAAAAAAAAAAAAAACAGAATAATTGTAGAGTATTTCTGGTGGAATTTTTTAATTGGGCTCTTGGAGGCCTTGTCCATTTTCTGAATCCCTTACAGTGGAATTCTTGTAGAGATACAAAGAAAAGCTTAAACTCTGTTATCTGGCCCCCCTGTTAACTGAAATTCCACTAACCAGATGGAGCATTTCCAGAACCTGATGTTTCAGTGAGTGATTTTGCCTTCCTCCAACTTCAGCTGGACACTGCCTGCTGCCACCTCATTCAGGGGCTCACCAACCCTCATGCTCATTTCCTCTGAGCAGACCGGCATTTTGTCCTCATGGATAACCCTCTAGTCTAGATCTTCATCTACCCTTCCCTGGCCCCTGGCCTGTTTCTGGGCCCTCCCTCCTCCAGAGGAAGCTGCTCTTTCACAAGGACCAAGGTGATCTTGTTAGTACCTTGCTAAAAACCTACAAAGCCTTCCAGTTGTCTACAGAATGAAGTTCAGACTCCCTAGAAGGGGAGGAAAGGCTATCTCCAAGCCAACCCCAGGCTATCTTTCCACCCTAAAGCAACAGCCACATCAGCCACAGCAGACTGGCCATGTTAGTTACCCAACAGCCTTCTCTACTGCCGGCCTATTTTTTTTATCATTCGCCCTCAGCCTGTAATAACCCTTTTCTCAACCCGCCTGGATCCTCCCATGGTCCCTGTGGTTCTAAAGCTTGGTCTTCCATGAAGTCTTCTGATGTGCCCTGCCAGAGTCAGTCTCCAACCCCCACCTCAGTGTTCCCACAGCACTGTGTCTACACCAGTGGTTCTCAGCCTTCCTAATGTCGTGGCCCTTATACCGTTCCTGTGGGTCACGACCCACAGGTTGAGAGCCGCTGGTCTACACCAACATTATAACCGTAATCTTGCTCTCACCTTCTTTGCTTTGTCCTGTAGATATCAGAAGCCTCTCTGCTCTGTTGTAATCTCCAGAACTCAGGAGCTCTGTCTCATCTACTTTGTATCTTTTTCATTCCATAACCCAACACTTTTGAGTAGACAGGGAGCATGTTAAGTTAAAAGGGCAGCACTAAATTGTCACGCATAGCAGTGACTCTTAGACATTGTGAGGCCCCGCATAATTTGTGCCCGTCACAATTTTACTAAAATTGGATATATTTTACAGAGTTCAGAATCATCCGTAAATTCAACAAATGTTTATTGAGCATCTACCATGTTGCGGGTTCTGGTAGGGACACCCCAGAAGACAGAAGGCCTCAGTTCTCGTGGAACTTACATTCTGTGGGGAGATCAATAGTAAAAATGCAAATAGTTTGAGATAGTGTAATATAACATGAAAATAGAGCAGCTTCAAGGCTTTGTGAGGGTGATCAGGGGAGCCTCTCTAGGCGAGTGACATCAAGGAACCTAAATATTGAGAGAGACACAGCCAGGCAAGGACATGGCCACATGGCATGTCACACTGAGGGAGGGCAGGAAGTGCTAATGACCAGGTCATGGAGGTGAAAGTGGGAAGTCTGGATTGAGGTTTTGGGAACTGATGTCTGCCATTCTAGAAAGCAGCATTTCTGACATCATGTGTTTAGGTTAAATAACAGAATCGACTACAATTGGTTTTATGGCTTCTTCGAATCCAAACAGGAGAGTCCTGCAGTCAGAAAACAATAAAGTCACAGGTCCCCACGGGGCACCTTGAAGGCAGACAAGTGTGTTCATGCTTTGTGCATTTTCTCCTACGCACAACTGTGGCAATTGTTTAGCAAGATCTTTGGAACCCATCAGTCATTCTCCACTCTGATTTGCTTAATCATTCTAATATTTCTCATTCTTCTCTTTCACATACCCCTGGGCCACTGAGACAGCAAGTGGGTTCACTTGCTGAACCTTGCCTTCAGTTTCAACCAACTGATTCTGTCCAGATAATCTAATTAGCTGTACTGGCAATCTGATGCATTTGCCCAGGTATCCAGAAGAACTTGTCAAACTCCTTGCAACCCTGGGCTTTTTAGAGAGCTGATCATGGCAAGTGGGACCATCATAGGACAATCAAATCCCCAAACTTTAGATCTTGAAGAAAAGGCAATTAGAGAAGTGACACCAGTGAGTACCCACACTGTCAGACATTTTATTGGGCTTGTTTCATGCATTGTCCCATTCAATCTTTATAATCCTCTGAGCTTATTAGCTCCACTTTGCAGAAGAAGCAACAGGCTCAGAGCAAATAACTGATCCCAGGTCACACAGCTCCAGTGGGTTCCGTTCAAGGCCGTGGTTGAGTGGATGGACTCCTGGGTCCAAAATTCCATTGCGTGTGAGTCTGGGTAAGAGTGGGGGAGTTATTCTCTCTCTGCCTCATTTTTCTCAGTTGAAAACCAAGACACTGATAATACTTTCCTGCTAAGATTATTAAAACGATTACATAGCTAATGTATACTTAGCATGCAGCCTGGCCCAGGTAGTAAGCACTATGGAAATGTTTGTCCTTATTACTTCTACTGTACTGAGTTGCTTTTTTTTTTGCCCAGCAATGGGATTGCAGGACTGAGCTGCTTCTTTATAGAAACCTTGGCATTCCTAGAACACAACACAGCATACAACTTGACAGGAGAAAAAAGTAAATGCGTCTCAAGCGTGTGTTCCTGTCCCTCCTCCCCATCTTCCACCAACCACACAGTTTTCTTTCCTTGTTCAGTGCACTGACTTCACAACTGCTCCTCAGCTCTGCTGCTCCCACCCCCAACCTGGTCCCTCCTACTCCCCACCTGGCTCCTCCTCCCCACGGGCTCCTCCCACACCCCACCTGGCTCCTCCCACTCCCCACCTGGCTCCTCCTCACTGAAGTCCACTTACATGCTGTGATGGCTGAAGTTGTGGGTGCCCTGCTGAGAGGGGACAATAGTAGGGCTCTCGGTTGCTTGCAGTCTCCCCGCCTAACTACATCTCTGGGTGTCTGTTGATGTACATGTGTGTTCCCAGTGCCTTTGGAACCCTGCATGCCTCCTGTTCTACTTCTCTCCTCTTACACAGAAGGAATTTGGTAGCCCACTCCACTTGTTTTATTTTGGAGAGAAGGGGTTTTGGATCCTTTAGAGGAATTTGGTGGGGGACATAGACAAGAAGGGAAGGAGAAGCAGGAGCCCCCAAAGGTGCTGAGCACAGCACTTGAAGTTCTCACCAGATTGGGGATGAGGTGTGGTTTGTGACATAAAGGAGTTTATTTCCCTGTTTTTTAATAAAACAGTATTAAACTACTCAGCACTGTGCTATTTTAAACAAAAGATGTTAGAAGCTTCCTTTAGCGTTCTTTGATGTTGTGCTATACGGGAGGAAATGCTTCTTTCTCCCAAATCTGAATCTTTTTTTTTTTTT